GTTTAGGTAAATCAGATTTCTATTTTTGGTCCCAAAAGTAGCCTTGGAAAGAAAGTAAATTTTATTAGAAGACTGAATTGTAGCAAAACAATTTTCCCTTCTAAAACGTTAGAACTAAAAGAGTTTGGGTTTGCGGTTCCATTTTGCTTTTCCTTCAATATCAGAAATGCAGGTGTTTGCTCTCTGCTTATGTTTCGTTCAGAAAATGCGTTCGTTGTGGTCACTGCAAGGGAAATTCCCCCTCTGTGAATGTGTAGCTTATCTGGGCTCCCCTCTGACCCTCTTTTGTAGCATCACTGTGTAGCAAGAGTAGAAAATCTTGTACATTTTTGTTTTGTGTGAAGGATCATCCTTTTTCAAGATCTTAGTGGTAAAGGTCAACTTGTAGTGTTTAGTTTTCTTCTCCAATAACATTTCATGTTAGGTTTGTGCCTTTTCTGGTGGTGTGATTGATTTATTCATTCTGAAGCCAGAAGACCCCTCCAATATCTCCTCTCTGCTCTAGGAGTGAGCTGCAGGAAAGAAATAGCATTTGCAGAGATGCAGTACTGCCCTGTGACAGGAGAGGAGGCTGGCTCAGTCCCTTTTCAAGTAAACACGTGGCTTCTGCATACCAGTCTGTGCTCACAACACTGCCTGGAAATGTAAGAGCCTTTCTGACCTGTGTGACAACACATCAAAGGTAGAGCTGCGTGGTGTGGAGGATAACCAAGATGGCCTTCCACCTCTGGAGACAAAGCAGCCAGACTGACAGTCAGGTACAGCTGCCTCATCCTCCAGAAGAAGGAATGTATCTTCTGGAAGATGTATTCTTGAGTATTCATTGGAGAATGAGTTGTAGAGGGCTGCAACACTTTGTGTAAAACAGTGCAGCCCTGTCCATTGCTGTGTCAGAAATGTTGCATGTTGAACTTGGAGCAAAGACCCATTCAGGTCTGTGTTCTTCCTTCTAGTAAAAGTTTGTTTCCTTAGCATCCAGTCTAACTATATTCTAAAAGGTAATTCAAATGATAATTTTTCCCCAGCCTATAGTGTCAGTGGGAGCTGCACCCTGGACTTACAGGATCTGGGGTGGCCAGCCAGCTACTCAGCCAGGACAGACTAGATGTTGATCAAACATAAACAATAAAGAAATATATTTGCAAAGAATAAAAACAAAATCTTCAGGGTTCTGTAAAACAAATGCAGATGGTCATTTTTGCATCTCCATTTTAGTAATCAGAAAATATGCAGTTCTTAGATCTGCATGTCAAGGTCGCTGTTGGCTGATCAGGTTGGAGAGGTCAATGAAACATCTCTTCGTATATAAATATTTGTTTGCCTTATTGTCAAGGGCCAAATTGAACCCTTTACTGTCACATATTTGTTGCCATGTGAGTAGGATGGTTGTTTCTCTTTTTGGTTCCAGGACACTGACAAAGGATCTAAGGAAATTTGTTATTGCTGTGCACAAACCTAGGCGTGTCCTACTGATAGAGGACAAATAAGGTGCGACTTACACTTCTCTGCAGAATTTCTCTACCCAGAGTGAAATGATATATATATATATTTTGTGTGTGTGTGTGTGTTTCCCAAGATTGGCTTGCAGTATGTTCACAAACTGCAGTTAGTAGAAGAAAATTTTCACTTCAACAATAGTCACAGAAGTACATGCTAATGGGTACCAGTTAACAAAGCAACGCTGAATTCCCATTAAAGTAGGAAATTCCCATTAAAAAAATGTTTCTTCAGTTAGGAACACCTATAGTTTTTATAATTATTTAATAAATCCTTAATTATTCATGTTGCAGATTGTGTCCAAGAATCTTCTGGGATTAGACATATTCTTTATAGCATTTTTCATACCCTGGTCAAAGGTCAGAAAATGTGGAAAACTTACTTACTTCTTGTGATAATAAGCTCTTTTACTTCTGTGCCTTGGTTCAACAATTATGTAGGTTTATGTTTTACTTTTATTCTGCTTGGTTTTAAGTATGTATTTAAGTACTTGAATTAAGATTTTGATGTACAAAGCATCAAAGGAAAAACAAATATATTTTTAGCTATTTAATTCACACTTGGGTATGAAGACTCAGACAAGTTCTGATATTTCCTATCAGTGATAGTTACAGCACTAACACAATGCAATAATTCTAATTGGTTAACTAGAATTATTATTTAATAACAATGTTTAGAAAAAATCTACAGAAATCTTCAGAAATGATCTATGATCTAATCTACAGAAAAATCTATGGATTACTCTTGCAGAGTATATAATTATTGTTATCCCCATTTAAGGTGAAAGTGTGAAAGAGAGATTCCTGTTTGGCATTATAGGATGAACTGTTCAGTCTGGAACTAGAAAGCCTAACTTCTGTCTCTTGATTAAAATCCACTTTAAAGAGTGACTAAAAGAGAGTGAAGAGTTACATTTTTTTTTTTCTTGAGAACAAAACTTGGTCACTAGTTAGCCCACAGCTTTCTAGAAAGTCATTTTAGGTTGTTAAAAGTAAAATTGTACCTGTTTAGTGAATCAAAATAAAATCAAAAATAATCACAAACAAAAAGATAATGGGTATGATGAGTTTTCACAAAAGATTAAAGATTTGTAAGGATTGACACACTTTCAAGAAATGTTTGATTTCATTTAAAAAGCAGATCAAATTAATACTGTTCTCATTAAAAAAATAAAAATAAAAATCAAAGAACAAAATCTACAAGGTATTTAACCTTTTTATTCCCCACTTTCCTTTTAAGGGTTAGCGATACATGTATGTACCACTCACAGAAATGCTGGAGGGGTCATCTTTTCTGCTGGATTAGGACCATGTGTTTCATGTTAGAAGAACTTACTCTAAGGAATACCCACATTTTTTTTATCTACAAACTATTCATTCACTTGTGGAAATAAAATATTCAGGGGTTCAGGATTCATAATGTGTTTCTTTAAGGTACTGCTGCAGTTGTGGATAAAAGGTGATATTGCAGTGAAAAATGCTGCTAATTACCATTTATTATTATCCATTATTATTTCCATTTATATCTCACTATTTTTAACTTGCTCATATAATTTCTCTTCCTATGACTTAGTCCAGATTGTATGATAATAACTGAATAAATAATGCTAGTGCTAGCTGTTTTCCTTTATTATTATTATTTATTTTTTTTTCATGAAACCAGATTTCTAGATGTGAATCATCACTTGATATTCCCTACCCCTCCTAAAAACACAGCCATAATTTTGTAGACGTTGCTAAGTATTTGAGGTGAGTGTTTGGTAGAATTCTGCAGGCATGTGACAAACAAATAAGTAAACAGAGTAAATACAAATACAATGTATTCTGTGGATTTTGCCAGGATTCTGGGAACATTTTTTATTGACCTGAAAAAGAAATTTTTTTTTTTCTCATGTGCTGTTTTCTGTATGTTGTGTCACACAAAGCATATTCTGTACAATCTGTGAAGCCTCACATTAGACAGAGTGAAAGTTAAGTGAATTTTAGGAGGATTATTTATTATATTGCAAATCACAGCCTGGCATAGTGCATTTCTTCACTGAAATATGTTTTTAGCACTTTGGAAATCCCTTTGTATGCATCTGAGTCGATTAATTTCTCTGCAAGCATACGTGCTACTCAATATACTTGTTATGTGTTTGTAGCTCTCAGTGTGTAATGAGACATTTTTGCTGTTGCTGATAATTCTGTAGATTCCATTGTACCCAGACATATGGTGTCAGTTGTTTGAAGGCTTTAGAAGCTCTCGGATTGGCTGTGATGTATAAATGCAATAATCCCCATAGAAAACTTCGGACTTCTAGAATCAGAGTTTAAAATCTGCATGCTCACTTGCAGGCTGGGGAGTTTTAAAAACAAACGGGCCCTTGTAGATAATTTAACATTAATGGCCCGAGTCAACAAGAAGTGCAAAACATTCAACGCCCAAGAAGAGCTATCTAAAGTCTGAGATGTGCTTCCACGGGGTATGAGCCAGATGGAAATATGTATAACCAACATTTTATCCATATTCAGTGTATATTAAATTAGTGTTATTAAAGGACAATTGTTAAATACTTTAATAAGGAAGAATGATGATTTGCCTTCTCTGTGTAGTCCTAATCCAAAACCAGCAGCATCCAGTTGAAAGACCCCATTGATTTTGATGGGTTTTCTATTGAGCCTTATGTCTGCAAGCTGAATGAAATACAGCTGCAGGGAACTGGAGGGCCCTGGTTTAGCAGATGCTCCTGGCCTGCCCTAAAACCGTACAAATCACCACAGGTCCTTCATAGCATGTGTATCTGGTGTCATGCCTCCATCACAGTCAGGAGGAGACTTACCATAGGTTCGGGGTAGAGTTCAAATTTCACCCATAGTGCTCAGTTTATTTTGTTTGCTGTTCTGGGTATTAAATATCCCTGATGAAGGTGTTCTGCTTGGATTGCCTCAGTAGGCATGTAAGCAGCAGAGTTTGGCTATTATATGTCTATAGCCCTGTTGCCTGAATTGGGGCATAAATACATTCTTTCTATGTGCAAAACCTTGGTGCAAAGCGTTTGTTATTGTAGCAGCCTAATAAAACAAATATCAGTCAAAAGCCCAAAATTGCTCATATGATAAGTGAATAAGGACCATTTTCCCTGTGATATCACGGCCTTAAATAGTGTTTCACCAAGGCTAAGCTGGGCTGCAGTATGATTTGTTAGACATGACTAACTACAGATAATGTTTGAACAAAATAGGAACAGCATTTCTTCTGTCCTCCTAAAACATTTGCTTCCATACACTGTGGTAAAGCTTTTTTTAGGGAAAACGAGTACATTAATGGGGTCTTCTATGCAATTTAATGAACCAGTGGGCCTCAACTTATTCATTATTTATATAGCTATTGTATTTAGGGCAGCAATGCTCTAAGTCCAGGTTGTAACTAGGCCCCATTTTTCTGGATGCAATACAAACACAGAGTTAATCAACTGAACAACACATAACGATTTGTAACTTCATTGCTGTTGTATATTGCAGGAATACCAAAACAGGTGCAGCCCAGGAATGTGTGACCAGCTAGGAATTATCCCCATCTTGTCCTCTCCCATAGAAGGCTACTTAAAACTCTTGGATGAACATCAACCAGCTGTTATCCAATGAACAGAAATTAAATATGCAGTGGGGGGCAGGGTGAGGGGAATTAGCCTGCCCATACAGCCTACACGTGGATGTGAGAAAAAGGGTAAGTAAAACAGGGAAGCAAAAAAAGCTTTTAGCCTTATATTCCCCTGGATTCCTCAAGGCTAAATGGTAAGTTTGTCAGGTCCTTTAGGTTATGCTGAGAATAATATCTCTTTGGTGATGACCAGGCATTTTTTCCTTGACACACCCTTTCACTTGCAATTCCTTCTAGTATTAGTGCCAAGGGAATTTATAGGTGATACCTTTACAGACCATTTTCTGTGTTCTGCTTAAGAGTAACTTTCCCCCTGGTTAGAGTACTTTCTCCCCTCACAACTTTGTGGAAGACATCCAAATGAGCAAGTTCCATCTAGTGTTTCCCATAACACAAAATGAGAATGATCCATACTATAAAGCTGGTGTGAAGGAAGCAGAACTGAGATATTTGGTCTTTCTTAATACATCTCTCTAACTCTCAGCTGAAGATGAAAGATTAGGGTTATTCAGGTAAAAGATTCAGACAACCAAATATATTTGTAAATTACACACATATCATCAGCTGAAAATGGTTGATTCAAGGGGAAAATTTAACCCAAATTTAATTTTACTTTCAAGGACTTATTTTTAGATTTTTGTTATAGAAAGGAAAAACAAAACAAAACAAAAAAGTGAATTCTATTGATAATATGTAGGTGAGAAAAATACCATTCCATGATCCTGTCAGACAGACACAGAGGTTGAGGATTGTTTGCAAAGTGCAATTTTCCCTCTGCTTGTTCTTTGAACCATCAGAAGGACCAGTTGTACACTCACCTGGAGCTGCCACTACAGTAGTCTCTTGTGCTCATGTCAATAGTGCTGCTGTCTGGAAGGGAAGATAATGGCATCTTTGACAATGAGGAACTGCCTCTCTAGAGCCCAAAACAACCTTATTTGGGTATATACTTTATCCTTTCCCTCACATATGTAGGCAAGAGACCGTAGCTGATATCAGAGGAGTTGCACATGATGGGTTTTATTTTGTGAATAGGAAATATTGGGATTCAGAGTGCTACTTACTTTTTGCATGCAAATGCCCTGTTTCTCTTACATAAAAGGCTGTATAAGTTGCAGATAAGTGTTTTGTGAATCAAGCCCGAAATCCTCTTTTTATTTTAACTGGAGACTTTAGCCAGTGGATAAGCTCCATCAGACATTATTCAAACATTTTATGGCTTGCAAAGAATTTTTTTTTTTTTTTTTAAAGAGCAGTTTAAATAAGAGAAAACAAACAGTTTCGTTGGAAGTGGCCTGGTTATAGATATCTTCTTTCCACCCCAGTGGCTTGATGTGACTGTTAACTGGCATTTGGCTGTTTTATAACTGGTGCAATTATTTTGTCAAAGGTTGTAGGGTTTTTTCCTCCTTTAAAAAAAAAAAAAAAAAAGTTAGTTTACAGTTTATTAACTTAGATTACTGCTAATAGCTCCCATGGGTCTTTCTACTGAAACAAGGACCAGGATAACTGATTTCTTAAGACCAATCTGGAAGACTTTAAAATGCATTAATAGCTATCACTGAAACAGCAGGAGGAAGAATAATCTGTCTTTTTTTTTTCTTTCTTTTCTTTTTTTTTTTTTTCTTTCTTGTCTTTTCTTTTTGCTCTTCTTGTTCTCTGCATAAAGTTTTCCCCCAACTTCATCCATTTATGTTATCCTCTTTCTCTCTCTCCCTCTCTCTCTGTTTCAGCTATTAACCGACTAAGTTGCAAGTGAGTGCGAATAATCAGCAATGACTCTTTTTGGCTGCTCAGGAAGCACATTAGCACATAAATAGGAAACATGGACTGATTCTAAGATGGCTCAAGGAAAAAGTGAAATGATAGTTTAAAGTGTGGAAGACTGAAGTCAAAGCACCACATTATCAAAAAGGTCTAAAAGCACTGTAGGATAATATTAATGGACTTTAAAACATTTTGCTTTTTCATGCGTAAAGACTTGTAAAAACAACACATATGGGTTAAACATTAGGCATGTAGCTGTTTGGTTTATGAAGAAAGCAATCTTTCTATGAAGAAAGCAATCATTTATTACATGCGTCTATCAGCAGGAAAAATATTTTTCTACTTTCACTGCTTTGGCATGTCTCCTCCAGTCATCCCTTTCCATCCTACTCTCCACCTTCCTGGTCAAAAGAGGAATGTGTGGACGAAGGCTGAGCAGAAATATTTACTCAATGTGACAGAACTTGTGTCTGGGAAACCTGATGAAGACTTTGAGAGAGAACTTTCTCTCACTTGTATTCCTTTGTTGCTCTTGCTATAGAGAGTAATGAAGAAAATCTGATCTACCATGGAAAGACCGTAAACAGTTAAAGCAGCAGGGCTGTTTGTTATCCAGGTACTCACATCGGAGTTACGTGGTGCCAAACATCATGAGGAAGTGATAATATGAGTCCGTATCTGCAGGAATAAGACTGTAGGTATAAGCAGTGAAGTTATATTATTCCAACTGTTCTCATCACTTGAAATTATGATGCTATGGAGTCTGCAGCATCAGCTATCCAGCTGAGATACTGGATGAAATTTCATTTCTTCCCCTGCTTCCTTCCTGAGTAGTGAAACTTATGCACTAGTCACATGTATTGATTTTCATGGTTTTAGTGTACTAAAGTGTACACAATGTGTACACAATGTGTACACAATGATCTAAGGAGGAAAATTTACTATGCTAGGTGCTGTACAAAAGTAATAATTGTCCTTTCCTCAAAGATTTTTTAATTAAAACACCATTAATTGTATGGAATAAAGAAAAATGGGGGTGGGAATGGGAAGAAGGGATGTTCTGATCCTATGTCTAATGGCAAGATGCAGATAACTCAGAAATAGTTGCTTTGAGACCTGAAAACATCAAGCAAGATACCTACAGCAAAGGTATCAATACATATAAAATAATAAATAACAAGACAGTATTGAGCTACTTCATAAGAATCATTTCTGAAAATGTTGCCCAGAAAATAAATTAAATTATGTAGAACTCAGTTACTGGCATCACCAGGTGCTATAAATCAGGATAAAATCCTTAAAGTAGGTTTTACTGTATTTACAGATCTTGGTGCTGTAGTCTGTATTTTGGTTATCTGCAAAGGTTTACAGACATATATTTTCATTAAAAGTTGCTTCCAGGAGTCCATTTCCAACTAGTTCATTGATTTAGTTGAAAATGTTTCATTTTCAGGCTTGAGTGGGGGTCATACCATTGTGCTCTCTTTTCAATACTTTGCAGTTTTATTCTTTATTGACTCACAGAGGTATATTGAAAGAACCAGTGTTATCAGATATGCAAGCTATAGCATAATCCTATTTTTCTGGAATTAGTTTTGCATGTAGTCTGTAGTGTGCTGAAATGTTCATTTCTATGCAAAAATCAGAAAGTTGAAAAAACTGACCAATGGGTTTATTGGGAGGATACTTATGTCATTTTCTACTACCAGTTCTTGACATTCAGCTGTTGATGTTCAAGTGCTCCTGTACTAAAAGTGCATGTCAGATAGTATGGCAGTGAAATAGCATACTTTTCTGTTACAATGAAATTTCAATAAGAGTGGAATTTTGCCTTAAAAAGAGGACAGTGATCTTCTCACATACACTGTCCTTTGTCCTGAGGCACACAAAATCCCCAAATCCCTAAAATATTTTATCTGTAGATAAGATAATTTTGCACCAGCCCAGGCATGAAAAAGAAAAGTATATCAGATGCAGCTGGAAAAGTTGCTCAGGGAGAAGGTAAATTAAAGGTTTCTATCTTATCTGTATTTCAATTACAATTTTATTTTTGGTCCCTGGCAGTGCAGACAGTTGAAATCCTGGGAAGTGGAGACACTCATAGGTGTATGAAAAAGGAACCTTTAATGGTGAAGATGTATATATTTGATCCATGCTGCTTTTCATGTTGGGTATACATAACATTAAAATAAAAATGTGGACTCTTATGGAGGGGCCCATCTGTTTGAGTTGACTTGAGGATTTTTTTTTTATTTTTTTATTTTTTTCCCTTTTCAATAGTAATAACCTAGTTTAAGAGTCTGCAGATCTGCCTGTCTCATTCTAAAGGTCAGTCCTAATGAAAACAGCTGTGCAAGGACCAGCAGAACAGTTCATCATAAAGAGCTGATCTGGCTTCCACTCGGGGCCATGCTGTATATTTGAATCTACTGTCTCAGAGTCTTCTGGGAACCGGATGATGAAGCTCTGAGATAAAAATCTCTTAGCTCTTTGATACTTGTGTTTGTGGGTAAAGACCATAGAAGACTTCCTCTCTTGGATTTTCCAGACTTCCTCTCTTGGATTGTCCAGTGGCCACATAAGTCTAGATCTTGCTGAAGGTGTTGACATTTCATCAGGTGCCTTTCTTGTTTATTAACTGCTTTTCCAAAGACATGAAACACTGAGAATATTTTCGTCTTAGTTTTGGATGTAATACCAATCTCCACTGTTATTAAGAATAGAAAAATGGTCAGATGACACCCCACTGCTACTGCGTCTATAAATGATTCATTCATTTTTGTAAACAGAGAAGCTCACTAGTACAGTCTGGAGCTGATTTATCAATATATTCTGTTGGCTTAGCAGATATTAGCCATAAACCTGGTTTCATGGGCCAGGGGGCATGGGGAAAGCCATGGGTTTCATGGGCAGGTAAATCTAGTTCTTCAGAATGATTCTGGTGCAACAAGAGAATAAAAAAAACATCTTTCCTGTGCCTATATTTCTATCATGAACACCACAAATTGATTGACTGATTAATTGAAGGCTTTGTTATCATTGGGTTACTCTTGGAGGCTAGGAGGAACTGGTACTGTTTCCCATGAACTAATCCCTCACCTCAACCACTGGAACTAGTTGCCTCAGCTGAAGAAGTGCTAAAAAGCCCCAAATGTCACTGCCTTTCCTTACTGGAAAAGCCAGGAATTCCTTTATATCAGTACAGGCAAAAGGTGAAAGGAAGGGAGCTCACCTTTATGAACCCAGTAAGGCTAAGACTGTTTAAATCCCTTGGAAGATTTGGGGTAAATATGAATATG